CCCCGTCACAGAATCTCCATCTTAGTCAGATTCAGTCTCAACCAGCTCTGTTTCAACCACCCAGCCACGGTCTCCAAACCTGCGGCCAAATTCCGTGGGGTGGTATCCAGTGTTCCCTCTAAGCTGAGTTAGTGTGAGCTAGCTCACAGTTTTTTAGCCTCTGGCTCACACATTTTTGTCTCAGCTCAGGAAGGAGGGCTCCAGAGCACACTAGTTTATGCAGTAGCCAAATTGCTCGCTCACAACTTTGATGCCAGTAGCTCACAAAGTAGACTTTTTGCTCACAAGACTCCACAGCTTAGAGGGAACATTGGTGGTATCCAGGTGGCTGTCCAATACTACAGCTGGGTGTCATCAGCATACTGGTGACACCCAAGCCTGAAACTCTACACCAGCTGGGCAAGGGGAGATGTTGAATCACATCAGGGAGAGAAGTTCCCCCGAGGGACCCCACATGTTAAGGGGTATCTGGAGGACACATTCTCTCCCAATGCCATCCTCTGTCCCTGACCATGAAAGAATGAGGTAAGCCACTGAAGGGCCAATCCCCACACTCCTACGTCAGTGAGGTGGTGGGTCAGCTTCCCTGTGAGGTAGTGAGGCTGAGGGCGCTCGGGTGAAGCCATCACATGACAGTGTTGTGTGGTCTTTTCCCACAAGTGTGGGGAGACGGGAGGTCTGGGAGCCCCCCCCCCAGTGGAGTCACTGATGCCTTTGGATTGTCTGTAGGAAGAGTATCAGAGCGAAGGCATTGAATGGCACAACATCACCTACACCGACAATGTGGCCTGCATCCATTTAATCAGCAAGAAACCCACCGGCCTCTTTTACCTCCTTGATGAAGAAAGCAAGTAAGTATAGCCGTGGGGGGAGGGGAGATGGAAGCAGGGGAGCAGGCATCAGAGGAGGCACTGGGGGAGCAGTGGTGTGGGCAAGCGTGGGATGGACCACGACCAGCCTTGGACCACGGCTCCTCCCCAAGAGTTTGATGTAGTGGTTAAGTGCCCGGACTCTAATCTGGGAGAACCGGGTTTGATTCCCCACTCCTCCACTTGCACCTGGCTGGATGTCCTTGGGGTCAGTCACAAGCTCTGGCACAGCTGTCCTTGAAAAAGAGCAGTTTGTGTCAGAGTTCTCTCAGCCCCACCCACCTCACAGGGTGTCTGTTGTGGGGAGGGGAAGGGAAAGGAGTTTGTAAGCCACTCTGAGACTCCAAGTGAAGGGCGGGGTATAAATCCAATCTCCTCCTCCTCCTCCTCCTCCTCCTCCTTCTTCTTCTTCCTGTGCGACTCCTGCTCCACTCCCCACAAGGAAGCCCTGCTGTAGTGGTTTCCTGTGCCACTGCCTTGCTGAGGTTTTTTTCCCCCCCTTTGGGTGATTTCAGGGTGCTTTGCGTGTCAGTGATGAGCTTTTCCATGCTCAGAGACTGCTTCAGGGCCCTGAGAGGGTTGAGAAGCTGGGAGCAAATCTATCAGGAGAAATGCCTGTCAGGCCTGAGTCTCCCCCTCCCTTGCTTCACGAGAGCCAGTGTGGTGGCATGGCTACAGTGCCAGCCTGGGGTTTGGGAGATCCAGGTTCAAATGCTCTGCTCTGCCACAGATGCTCGCTGGGTGACCTTGGGCCGGTCACACACTCTCAGCCTCGCCTACCTCCACTGGGTTGTCAAGTGGATAAAATGGAGGCGAGACGAATGACGTGTGCCACCTTTGGGAAGAAAGGAGGGGCATAAATGAAGAAAATAATTTCTTTTCTCATCCCCAATCCCTGCTGATTCTTCCGCGTCCTGCTTTTGTCCCCACAGCTTTCCTCATGCCACCAGCCAGACGCTTCTGGCGAAATTCAAGCAGCAGCATGAAGACAACCGGTTCTTCATTGGGACCCCAGTCCTGGAGCCCGCCTTCATTATTCAGCACTTTGCAGGCAAAGTGAAGTACCAGATCAAGGTATGGGATGGGGATGGGATGACGGGGGCGAGGCTGAGCTCCGATTCAGCCTGAAGTGCGAGGGGAGCTTTCTGGGATTGCCCCAAAGCTCCAGCCGTCCCCATCTCCTGTTGCCAGCAGTGGTCCACTCTGTGTCCCAAAGGGAAGCTCCTGTGCCTTGAAAAAACACAGAGGTTCTGTTTACCTATTATTTAAAAAAAACTTGTTAGGCTAGAAGTAGCTGCTGTTCGTGGCAGAGAATTTCATAAGATGATCACGTGCTGTGTGGCGTCCTGCTTATGAGGGATACGGTTTTACCTTTAAAACACTCTCTGTGTACATAAACTTGGTAGATTTCTGCTGCCACCAGGAATTAAAAATTCCAAATCTCTCTCTTTTGGTAGAATGACCCAGGGTCTGGGCACTTCAGAGGACTATGTGGCCCTGAGGAAGGACTATTCTGATTGCTGGGATTAGTTTAAACAAATAATGATTTATTTATTAAAGAACAAAATAGGTTCCTGGGTATTTTTGAACTGTTGCTGAAGAAAGGAACTCGTAAATATAACTGGCAAAGCTTGGCATCACAAACAGTTTCTCAAATGCCAATGTTCCACTCTGACAGGCTTAGACACTCAGTGTAATCTCTCTCATATATATATATAGCCACACAGGCTCTTTGTTTTATTCACACAGAATAGACTCAAACTCCCATAGTCACACAGACTATGCTCTCTCTCCAAACGTCACACACAGAACCCACAGAGACACCCCTCCTCCCACACTCTCAGTCATCAGCCAATCACATCACCCTTGTCTCCCTCTATCACTCTCCTTACATTACTGCAGTCAAACTAAACATTTAAAGAAACACACACACCAAAACAAGAAATCATTACATGCTGTGTCTAAAGAAGTGCTGGACATGGTATCCTCTCGCTTGGCCCTTGTGTGTCCTCTGGATCTGACCTCTTGCTTTGCACTTGGCAGGATTTTCGTGAGAAGAACATGGATTACATGCGGCCGGACATCGTGGCCTTGCTGCGAGGCAGCGACAGTGCCTATGTCCGCGAGCTTATTGGGATGGACCCAGTGGCTGTCTTCCGATGGGCCACCCTGCGTGCCGCAGTCCAAGCCATGGCAGTCTTTGCAGAAGCCGGCCGCCAGAGAGCTCAGAAGACCGCTGGTGAGGACAAACCTCGGGCAGAAGGCTTGCAGGAACCTCCCCTCATGTGGTCAGAGAGCTGCTGTGGCAGTAGTCCAGTGTCCAGATGGAGATGGTTGAAGGGGTGGGGGGGTCTGGCCAACTGTTTGTTTTTGGTGGAGTGGGATTTGCACAACCAACAGTTGGCCTCTGAGAGTGCTGGACCCAAATTCCAAAATTCTGAGCCCATTCTGTGACTGGCAGCAGCTGCCCAGGGTCTCAGATGAAGGTCGCTCAAGTCAACTTACTGCCTGATCCTTTTTAAACTGCCTGATTCCTGAGTCGGTCCATCTCGCCCCATATTGCCTGCTCCACCTGGCAGGAGCTCTCCAGGGTCTCAAGCAGAGAAACATCTTTCGCCACAGCTGCCCCCTGAGACCCTGACCCCTGGCCACGGAACCTGAGACCCCCAGCAGGTAAAGGAGCCACAGCCTCTCCTGAGTGCTAGGGGATGCCTCTTCATCAAGCCCCTGACCAGCTGTCTAGCACCAACATAGGCCTCTTTACTCTTTTCCCTCTGTCCCTTCCAGGAGTGGTGCGCCATGGGCCCCGGGTGCCCCTTGGGGAATTGCAGCAAGCCAACACCCCGATTGAAAAAGCTTACCGGTAGGTGGCACGATTTGTCTGCATTCAGATCCTTGTTCTGGGCGTTTTGGATGAGAAAGGCGATCTCGGGGTGCTTGGGTTCCTGCTGCTGCGCCGTAGCTGCTGCTTGCCAGCCCCGTGCTGCTGCTGGCTGCACCAATGACCTAGAGCTATTGTGGTGGACTTGCGTGTTCCCTATGCATCTTCCAAGCCAGCACGCCCTTCCCGTACCCTCCGGAGGCACAGGTCTCCTCTCCTCCCTCCTTCTGCATAGAGCCCTTTGGAGGAGGTGCAGCTGCCACGGCTGCCGGTGTGAGAGAAGCCCAGGGGACTTGGCCTCACAAGCAGAAGGAGCACCACTCCATTTTGAACACTTGTTGCGATATTAAAAAAAAGAAAGAATCTGGGCCCGAGATGTGGTGTAGTGGTTAGAATGCTGGACTTAGGAGGACCTAGAAGACCCAGGTTTGAATCCCTGCTGGGCCACAGAAACTTGCACTCAACCTACCTCACAGGGTTGTTGAGAGTACTTGAGTGGAGGAAGGGAGAATGATGTGAGCTGTTTTGGGTCCCTGTTGGGGAGAAAGGTGGAGAATAAATGAAGGAAATAAACTTGTTTACAAAAATGCGAGCATGTAGGAACAACTTTTGCGGGTTAGCATCTCTCTCTCATCTCCTGCTTCCTCTCTTCACCTTTCTCTGAGTACAATCTTCATTTAAGAAGCTTCTCTCAGTTTTTGCAGCTGCATCCCACAGCCTTGACTGTCAACAAGGGGAGTGCGCAGTGAAAACAAAAAGTCCTTCTTTACCCCTGTGGTGAAAAGGGTCTCGCAAGGCCCCCCCCTGTTTCTGCCTGTGTGGGACAAGATACAAAAAGGCAGATATTGCTGTGTATGTTCATCAAATTTTCAATTTTCCAAGTTGTATTTTGTTTTTCAGATACATCAAACAACTCAATAAGAACAAAGTCTTCAGAAGAGAAGAAGAAGAAGGACGGACCTTCCCGGGCTTTCTGTAGTCCGTTTCGAACAATATCTTTCTCAGGTGTCAATTCATGTTGTCTATAGTGTTCTTACAAGTCCAATCTTGACTGTATATGTGGTGTTTACAAAAGTTCAGAAACAGCTGCTCATAGCTCTATTGTCTACCGGTCTCCATTCAGGATTATATGCTGGATGGAGACCGGTAGACAATAGAGCTATGAGCAGCTGTTTCTGAACTTTTGTAAACACCACATATACAGTCAAGATTGGAATTGTAAGAACACTATAGACAACATGAATTGACACCTGAGAAAGATATTGTTCGAAACGGACTACAGAAAGCCCGGGAAGGTCCGTCCTTCTTCTTCTTCTCTTCTGAAGACTTTGTTCTTATTGAGTTGTTTGATGTATCTGAAAAACAAAATACAACTTGGAAAATTGAAAATTTGATGAACATACACAGCAATATCTGTCTTTTTGTATCTTGTGCCACTCTAATTGCTGGATCCTTTATAATTTCTTGTATCTGCCTGTGTGGGAGCCTGGAAATTCTGTGGCCATCCTGCTCTCCCCCCACACACACAAGGCCCCTCTGCTTCCTGCTACTCTCTCAGTATTTCCATTGCCACTGATCAGTCAGACTCTTTCCTGCTAAAGAACTAGCACTCTTGAACTGCTTTGCCATTTGGTCCGTCACTGTGTCTCCTGCTTCACAGCCACAAGTCTCTCCACTTCTCCTTGATAGGGGTGACAGAATGGGCCGAATGTGGGTACCGAGATCAGGCTGCTGTTGTTGTTCAGTCCCACAGTCGAGTCTGACTCTTCACGACCCCATGGACCACATCACACATTCAAGATATATTCAAAATTATATTCAAAATATAAGGACAGTTAACGGGAAATTTTTTAGAATGCACACGTGGATGAAATAGACAGCAGACTGAGCAAAGGTCAAATAAAAAGCGGTGCAGCTGCAGTCCTCTGACCATAACTCTCACAGGTACCGTAAATGCTGGCAAAATTAGGAGAGGCTGTTTATCCTTGGGGGTTGCAAGCACCCAGAAATGCCCTGTGGGGATTTCTCCCCTTTGTTCAGCAGCATGTAGTCATGACTGCCATGGTGACAGAGCTCACAGTAAGAAGGCAAGTTGGTGGTACATCCCCTGCATCCCCCATTTGCAAAACCCTCTGTAGTTCCTGTTCCCAAAGGAAAGCTGTAAGGTAAAGGTAAAGGTTCCCTTGCTCGAAAGCCAGTCGAATCCGACTCTAGGGTTGCAGAGCTCATCTCCGTTTCAAAGCCGAAGAGCCAGCGCTGTCCGAAGATGTTTCCGTCATGTGGCCGGCATGACGCTGAGGTGCAGGGAACGCTGTTACCTTCCCACCGAAGTGGTACCTATTTATCTACTTGCAATTTCTTGCTTTCAAACTGCTTGGTTGGCAGGAGAAGGAAAGCTGACATTCCACCATTTGGCTTCCCAGGCTCTCTGGCTTAGGTGTGACTTTTCTACCCTTTGTGCTTTCCTGGCTAAGACATATGTGGAGTTGGATGGCTCTGCTGCTGGGAGATGAGTCATCTCTGCCCTGCTTTTCCTTTGTGTAAGCCTGTAAAAGGCAGTTAGCACTCTCTGACCGTATACAGAATGCAGACCCCAATTATCGTCAACTTTGATGTAACTTCTGGGGTTTAAGGCGTTTCATCACAGTGACATCAAAGAATGAAAATAAACTAGTTCAGAAGCCAAGATGTTCTCAAGGACTGTCAAATCCAAAGGCCCTTGGGTATCAATTGCATTAGTGTGAAGAAGTCACCTGGTTGACATGTCTCCATCACATCTTCTCCTTGAGAGGTAAAGTCTTGTAAATTTTCATATATTTGATTATTATAGAAAATAATACATAAAATCAAGCTGTTCCCAAAAAATCTTTGCACGGTTTAACCACAGCCTACATCAAAGCATCAATTGCTTTGGCTGGATCTAGCTCACTTTAAGAACATAAGAACATAAGAACATAAGAGATGCCAATGTTGGATCAGGCCAAAGGCCCATCCAGTCCAACACTCTGTATCACACAGTGGCCAGAAATACCAGTGCCATCAGGAGGTCCACCAGTGGGGCCAGGACATTAGAAGCCCTCCCACTGTTGACCCCCCCAAGCACCAAGATGACAGAGCATCACTTGCCCCAGAGCCCCTATCTATACCTTGTGGCTAATAGCCACTGATGGACCTCTGCTCCATATGCTTATCTAATTCCCTTTTGAAGCCGTCCATGCTTGTAGCCGCCACCACTTCCTGTGGCAGTGAATTGCTTTGGGAGAGGGTCTTCAACAGGTGCCACCCAAAACCAAATTGCACCCTTCTAAGCTGATTAATTTCAGTGTAGGGTGGCTCAGGTTAAGATGCTGAGCTGCAGACTGGAAGGTCTGTAATCCGGCAGTTCGAGACCCTAGTGCTGCGGAATAGAGTGAGCTCCCATCTCTGGCCCCAGCTCCTGCCAACCTAGCAGTTCAAAAGGACGAAATTGCAAGTAGATAAATAGGCACCGCTTCGGTGGGAAGGTAACAGCGTTCTGTGCGCCTTGGCATTTAGTCATGCTGGCCACATGACCATGGAAATGTCTTCGGACACACTCTAGGTCAAAGAATGCCTTCCCTCTTTTTGTTTTATATTGTTTCTCTCAGGGCCCCACCCCCCTCAGTAGTGATTGGCCTTCCCTTTCCCCTCCAATTTCACCCCAGTCCAATCAGAAGGCCCGTGGGGTGCCTGGGAAATGTAGACCTGCTGCAAGCTTCACACAAGGTGTCCTTGAGGCCTGCAGGCCTCTTATTCTCCAGCCTTAGGCCTGGGATCGTGACGCAGACCCCCACAAGTTCTTGTCTGGCGTGCTGCTGCACCACGGTTCCCAGCTGGCTTTTGGAAAAGGCTTGGGAAGACAGAGCCAAGTCTTGATGTTGGGTTTCAGACAGTACATAGCTAAGGGGAACCTTTCAGGCAGGTTTATAACATATAAAATACAGCCCACTGTAACACCTAGTGTTGCCAACTCTGGGTTGGAAATTACTGGAGATTTTGGGGTGGAGCTTGGAGAAGGCAGGGCTTGGGGAGGGATCTCAGTGGGGTATAATCCCACAGCATCCACCCTCCAAAACAGCCATTTTCTCCAGGGGAACTGATCTCTGCCTTCTGGAGAGAAGTAGAAATTCCGGGAGATCTCCATACCAGGGTTCTTTTTGTAGAAAAAGCCCAGCAGGAACTCATTAGCATAATAGGTCACACCCAACAGCAGAAATTCATTAGCATATTAGGCCACACCCCTGACAGCACAGCTCATTGCCATATTAGGCCACACCCACAAGTTACCAGAAGTGTGCTCATCCAGCCACACCCACCTTTTGCTTCTTATTCTGTTGACCTTGTTTGTTGTCAAAACCCAGGGTCTTTTTTGGTAGCAGGAACTCCTTTGCATGTTAGGCCACACACCCCTAATGTAGCCAATCCTAATGAGTTTCTGCTGTCGGGTGTGGCCTATTATGCTAATGAGTTCCTGCTGGGCGTGGCCAACTTGGGAGCCAGCCGGAACTCCGTTCCTGTGCGTTCCTGCCCAAAAATAGCCCTGTCCATACCCCTCCTGAATGTGGGGCAACCCGCTGTTGCATTCGATTCACCCAGACGGGGATCTTAAGCAAAAGATCTGCACAGACTTTTAATGCACACTCTGATTAAACTAACCCTTTTCTCTCACTATTTTCTGCCTCTCTCAACCCTCAAAACCAAACCGGCTGAAAACCAAACTAGACAATATGGCGTTGCCTGCGGAATTATGACACTTTGCAAGATACCGCAGAGACCTGATCCTGCTCGGGAAATGCCACCCCGTGCGGACAGGAGGCCCTCCTTCCCTGCTCCGTGGCCCTGAACAGGATAGGTCCCCCATGGCATCTGTAAAGTGACAGATTGTGAACCGGGCGGGGGGGAGGGTTCGTTTTGGTTGCTCTGGCTAATGGTAGTTGATGAATCTTGCCTCCTCCGTTAGAAGAAGAAGAAGAAGAAGAGATTGGATTTATACCCCATCCTTCACTTGGAGTCTCAGAGCGGCTTACAAACTCCTTTCCCTTCCCCTCCCCACAACAGACACCCTGTGAGGTGGGTGGGGCTGAGAGAGCTCTGACCCAAACTGCTCTTTTTCAAGGACAGCTGTGCCAGAGCTTGTGACTGACCCAAGGTCACATCAGCAGGTGCAAGTGGAGGAGTGGGGAATCAAACCCGGTTCTCCCAGATTAGAGTCCACACACTTAACCACTTCACCAAACTGGCTCTCTAGTCCCCTTTTAAAGCCAGCTGTACTAGTGGCTGCCAGTCAAGGAGATCCACAAATCACTTGTGCTTTCTGTGAAAGAGTTTCTCTTGCCTGCCCAGATTCTGCTGCTGTCCTTTGAGTCCTCTGGCACAAAAGAATTGTTCCGAACACCACTAGTTTATGGTCCTTTTTCTTGGGAGAGACAGCGCTTAATAGCAGAGACGGAGATCTGGGGGGAGCAGGGAGGGGGAGCAGGCAAAGTGCCAGTGGTGTAATAAAAGAGAGCAGATGTTTATTAAGAAGTGTGCATTTTGCGATAACACAAATTTTCTATTAACGTAAAACATATCCGCTCTCTTTTATTGGCAATTTTGCTTTTTTTCCTTGGCCCTTTTGTTTCTCTCCGGGACACCCTGGGCCATCCTCCTCCTCCTCCTCCTCTTCCTCTGCTCGATAGTTCAGCTTCTCTGCATGTTCCCTTTTTGCAGCTGCTCAGTGCTTGATTTCTCATTTGATTGCTCTGAGGATTTTGATATAAGCGCTTTTGAAGACATCATTGCTTCATACGAAAGCAAGAAGTAAGTGGGAAGAGTTAGACTGCTTTACCCTTGGCAGCCGGGGAGGCACGTTCCTGGACAGATGGACCGTCTGAGCATGCCAAGCATAGGAAGGGGCAGGCATTTTAAAAAGGCAAAAGAACCCGCTGTCGGTTCTGCCGTAATCGTAGTAACCAAGACTTGTGTTCACGACTCAAAACGTAACCCAGACTTGCGTTCGCAGCTCAGGACGCTGCAGCTGTAAGGCTATCTGCCGCCCCTTGTTCCAAGTTAGCTTGGTGGTGTAAAGTAGCAGTTGTGGCTTTTTTTTTGAAGTCATGCAAGATTTCAGAAGGTCATTGTCACCTTACCAAAGCCAAAAATTCTCTTGACGGCTGATGCATCTCAGAACAGACACCAGTGGTTCCTCTGCCCAGGTGTGGCTTTCATGCTTCTATTGTTGTTTTCTTTGTTTTTTTTGTTATTTTATTTTATTTTATTTGGTTTGTGCCTCTCTGGAGGGTGGCAAAAGGTAAGTATGTTCTTGTGTTGAGGCAAGACTCTCTGTCGCATGGTGCATGTGGTGTGGTACTGGTGACATGCTCAGCGTCTTCCCAGGCTGACTGGCAATTAAACATGCAGTGGAGAAATGTGCATGGGAAACAGCAAGCAAGGGTGATGAAAAGACAAAACCTATTCCAGCTCCTCAAACAGAGTTGGAAGGGAACCCAGCAGAGTCCATACAATTAGATTAATTTAAAAAATAAATTTTAAATTGGATGGTAACTTTTTAAAATTCTGTTGTATCTTAAAAAAATGATCCCAAAAGTGGTCTGGTTTAAAAGAAACATGAATTGATCACGGAAGGCAGTTCTAATAATTTCTGCAAACTTAATCTGTGACCTTTTATCCAAATGCAATGTGTTAAGCCTTCTTTTTGACTTGAAAAATAAACAAAAGAACCGTCAACAAAAAAAGTGGCAGACCACAGACAGTTCTCATCTAAGAAGTTGAAAAGAAACAAAAAGGGCCCTCTTGCTTGGGCCTCTACGGGATGTTTTGCAGATGTGTCAGGCTTTGGGGTGGTGTAACGTCCGCTGGCATTGGGGAAGTGCCCGGGACTGGGGAGGTTTAGGAAGCCCCGCTTTGCTGCCCCTGACATGTCCCTGCCCTTGCCCAAGTCTGAGCTGGTGCAGGTGTCACAAATGGGCCAGTGGGACAAGAGGCATATAAGCAGTGGAGTTCAGTAATGATCAGTAGAACCAGGGGTGAAAGACGTTTTAATTCCTTCCCTCTGTACTCTCAAGGTCTCAAAGCTGGAGGTGGAAGACACCCCTTTGTCCACTTTCTGACATGATACTCAGTACTGGAACATACTGGCTGGCTTTTTTACCCCTGAGTAGAACAGTAAACTCCTGCCAACCTAGCAGTTCGAAAGCAAGAAATTGCAAGTAGATAAATAGGTATCACTTCATTGGGAAGGTAACAGCGTTCTGTGCGCCTTGGTGTTTAGTCATGCCGGCCACATGACCACGGAAATGTCTTCGGACAGCGCTGGCTCTTCGGCTTTGAAACGGAGATGAGCACCGCAACCCTAGAGTCGGATTCGACTGGCTTTCGAGCAAGGGAACCTTTACCTTTTAAGAACAGTAAAAGAAAACAAAAACCCCAACCCTCAGGGGTATTTAATTTCCTCCTTGGCATAGCACATCCGCAGGGTGATCCATGTGACCTGGGACTACTAGATCAAGGAAACTGGTGCAAATTCCATGCCAAAAGGCATGAATTCCACTGTTCAGGCTGCAGGAGTCATTTTTGGCTCATCTTGAACTGATCCAACCCAGTAGGGCACCTTCGATGCATTGCGTGGGTAGAATCCTATCAGCCTTTTGTCCCTTGAAAAACGTCTGCTGGCACCTGGCAGTAGTCATGTGGACTGCATGAACATAAAACCATGGCAGGGCAGGGCAGGAGGGAACCTGAATGAGACCATCCCTACTCCTGTTACAAAAAGTGGGAAGAAATGGCAGGATCCAACCCATTGTGTCTGATCTGAAATGCTTACTTGGCAAAGGAAGCTGGAAATTTTGTCAGAGCCTCGTCCTCCGAAATGCATGACATATGCAAAGTCTCTGAAAGGGAAACTGGTTCTTCCATCTCTCCCATCATCTGTGCTCAAAATGATTCCAGTTCCAGGCCACTCTTCCTGGTACGAGCCAAGGATCATTTTGTTGCACCTGAAATGTGCATGTTTAAAGCAAGGCTGGCCTGGGAATCCGCTTTTTGATCATTCTTAAAGCATGCAGGGTCATGATGGGGCTCATCCTTTTCATTCCTGGTGATTCTGTTTCACAGCTGTCTGGTGTGTGTGTGTGTGTGTGTGTCCCTATCTGTCTTGGGTGTGTTTCCCCATCCCCTTCCCACCATAGGGATTTGCATGAGCAAATAGTCAGGAGCATAAAGGGACTGCCCTGGCAGGGCGAAGATCCCCGCAGGCTTCTTCAGTCGCTCGGCCGACTCCAGCAGCCCCGTTGCCACTTCCTGTGAGTTTGGGCTGGTGGGAGAGGAGGAGGAGGGAACTGGTGGAGGGAGGGGTCTTTCTTTTCTCTCTCTGTCTCTATTTTTGCTTTACAAATTTTTCAGAACAAAATTCAGCAGACATTTGCATACGCACCGAAGCTTGTGTTGTACGTACTGTCTGTTTGCAGCTGTTATTAGAACATAAGAGAAGCCATGTTGGATCAGGCCAATGGCCCATCCACTCCAACACTCTCTGTCACACAGTGGTCAAAATCCAGGTGCCATCAGGAGGTCCACCAGTGGCGCCAGAACTCCAGAAGCCCTCCCACTGTTGCCCCCCCCAAGCACTAAGAATACAGACCCTCACTGCCCCAGACAGAGTGCTCCCCGGACAGAGCGTTGTGGCTAACCTTGTGGCTAACAGCTGCTGATGGACCTCTGCTCCATATGTTTCTCCAGTCCCCTCTTGAAGCTCTCTCTGCCTGTAGCTGCCACCACTTCTTGTGGCAGTGTATTCCGCATATTAATTACCCTGGCTTCGACTTGCCTTGGCACCCGTGCACATGGGGAAGGGGGTGTTTTCACAAGCATTAGCCAGCTGCCAATAAACCCTCTTTCCCCCAAGCCTTCTTGCACATAGAGGGGTCTCTTGCTTGCTATTGGGAAGGTTGGCAGACATCAAAAAAGACCCTTGTGGTGGGAATCTCTCTGCTGCCTGAGGTCCTGCTTGCCGGGGATGCGTTTCTCTGGCAAGAGGTTTGCGGACATTTCTGCAAAGGAACACATGATGCTGCCATAAACCAAAGTGGGGCCATGTTTGCTCCAAGTGGAATCAGCTTTCCAGGTTCTCTTGCAGAGAAGGATTTTCCCCAGGACCTGCTCCCCAATATTCTTTGCCTGGAGGTGCCAGAGACTAAACGCAGAACCTCTGATGTGTAGAGCTCAGCTTTGCCAGTCAAACGCAGATCCTGCTGACCTCTTTTGCCAGTGATGGCTCTTCCCCTGATGCAAGAGTCCTTGTGCTAGAGGAAAGCCCTGCCACTAGCAGGGCAGATCTGTGGGGCCAGGCCGGTGTTCTGTCCTCAGTCCGACAGGGCAGAAAGGGTCCTTTCTCAGCCCTGCTGTCTTTTGGGTGGAGATGCCATGCTTTGACCTTCATCACGCTTAATAGAATAAATAAATCCATGCAGGTAGGTATCTTGCTAGCTGTCTATTCAAATAAATCCCCCCCAACTCCTCCAGTATCATTGCTTCCTTTTGTTTAAAGGTCGATTATTATTTCTGAGCTCCCTGAAGAGGTAGTGGGGGGGGGGGGCGAGAATTTTTTACCCGTTGCTTTAGTGTCTAGGAGTGCCCATTTTGCCCAGAAATAATGAGCTGATCTGTTCTTACTTTAAAAAGAATATGTAGTCTTGTTTGCTTTACATGGCAAGAATATGTAGTCTTGTTTGCACAGTGATGATAATCTGTGTAGTGTGCTTGTGCTTTTATTTATTCTAAATCTGAAATTATGACTTTTTGGAACACTTGGGGCTTTAAGAACAAGCTGAGGATGCCCAGCAAAACTTGCAGGAGTTGGCAACGCAGAATCAGTCCACTGGAAGCTCCTTCAATGACCCTTCCTTTTAGCTCCCCCCCCCCCACCCCCCAATTAGAACTGCTGAGCTGTGGTATCACTTCATCAGCTTTGTTCAACCTAATTTACAAGTTGCAACCTTTGAAACCCTGTTAGCATTTTTCTCCATTTTTTTTTCATGTTTCAACAGGAAGAGTAGAGGTGCCAAACAAAAACAGCTCATCCCAAAGGTAAGGGGGAATGTACATGCATAAGAAGAACTGTTTTTTGGGGGGAATGCATGCATGTGTTTTTCTGTAGTCATTCTGCACATGCATTTAAGACCCACTGAACGAAATCTAACTGTTTAGGGATCTCCGCTTGCATTTAAAATGAAGTCTTAAGTTTCTAGCCCTCTTCATAAGGTTGGTAAGGCCCTATGCAGTGGTGTTAGGTTGGAAAGCGTTACAGGCTTGTGGCAAAGGGAGGACTTGTGAGCCCAAAGCAGCATGCAGACTTTTTGAAAAATGACCAATACCTGCATAAATAATGTGTCAGACTACCAGTTTGGTGTAGTGGTTACGTGTGTGGACTCTTAATCTGGGAGAATCGGGTTTGATTCCCCACTCCTCCACTTGCTCCTGCTGGATGACCTTAGGCAAGCCGTCGTTCTGTCAGAGCTGTTCTTGAAAAAGAGCAGTTTCTGTCAGAGCTCTCTCAGCCCCACCTACCTCACAGGGTGTCTGTTGTGGGGAGGGGAAGGGAAAGGAGTTTGTAAGCCGCTCTGAGACTCCAAGTGAAGGGCGGGGTATAAATCCAATCCTTCTTCTTCTCCTCTTCTAAAGAGTTATGAGATGCACCAGCAATTTTGGTACTAGGTGTTAGGGCTGGCAATCAAGGCAGTGCTGTCCTAGGGACTGTGGCTCAGTGGAAGAGCCTCTGCTTTGCATGCAGGAGATCCCAGGTTCAATCCCCAGCATCTCATTTGGAAGGACCAGGTAGGAGGTGATATGAAAGACCCCTGCCTGAGACCTTGAAAAGCCACTGCCAGTCTGAGTAGACGGTACTAACCTTGATGGTCTGATTCAGTATAAAACAGCTTCATGTGTTTTAAGCAGAGTTAGGCCCTTCTAAGCACTGTTAGAACAGTGTACCTCTGCACTGGATCACACTTTTATGGAGACTGTGGGGCAGCAGAGCGGCTAAGAGCTGTGGTTCAGGAAGTCCCAGGTTCACATCTCTCCAGTGCCTCAAATTTGCCTCAGGCAAGCATCTCTCTCTCTCTCTCTCTCTCTCTCTCTCTCTCTCTCTCTCTCTGCCTCAGCCCCTTCTACATGCAATATGGGGGAAAGACTGGCCTCCCTTACAGTGGTGTGTGTGAAGTGTTTTGAGCACCTAGTGCTGTGTAAATGTTAAGGAGTATTCTCCCATGGTCTGGTCAGTGCTTGGGTGGGAAACCTCCATGCCATGGGTTCCATGGTGGAAGAACAGCAGAACATAAAATGTAAGAAATGAATTGTCCCGGATGCAGCAGAAATTCAGATTAAAGTGTCAGGCAACAGATATTAAGATCCTGGGAGGAGAGGGGCCATGGCTCACTGGTTCAGTGGCAGACAAAGTCCCAGGGTAATCCCTGGCGTCTGCCTGAGACCCCGGAGAGCCTCTTCCAGTCTGAGTAGACCATCTTGACCTTGATGGACCCTTTGAGGTGGGGCCATGGCTCAGTGGTAGAGCCACTGGCAGTAACTGACCAGGAGAGAGATCTTGGAGTCACGGTAGATAAGTCACTGAAGATGTCGACTCAGTGTGTGCAACTGCAGTTAAAAAGGCCAACGCTGTGCTGGGGATTATTAGGCAGGGGGGCTGAAAACAAATCAGCCTGCATCATAATGCCCCTGTGTCAATCTATGGTGCGGCCTCATTTGGAATAGTGTGTACAGTTCTGGTCATCACACCTCAAAAAAGATTACAGCTGTGCCCAAAAAAACCCTGCTATTTTTCGAGTTTGGCTATATTGAGCTCGAAAAGTATCAGGATTTCTTGATATTCCTGAATCCCAATACTGGTATGGTATTTGAATTCAGTAAATATTTGAGATTGCTGAATTTTAAAAAAACATTATACCCTATGGGGGCCATTGTAGTCAGTGGTTCCCATAGGGTATAATGGAGAATTGATCCAGGGTTATCTGGGGCTCTGTGGTGGCTGCTTTTGGGATAGAGGCACCAAATTTGCAGCATAGCTGTTGGTGCCTCTCCTCAAAAACCCCCTCACGTTTCCAAAAGATTGGATTAGGGAGTCCAATTCTATGGGCCCCAGAAGAAGGTGCCTCTATACTCCATTGTTTCTGATGGAGGGGAGAAAGCTATTTAAACGGAATGCGGTCCCTTTAAATGCCTTCTGCAAGCAGCAGCTGAACTCCAAAGGCATTTAAAGGGCTTGCAGTCCATTTAAATGTTTTCTCCTAGCCATTACTTCACCCAGAAGGTGTTTAAAGGGACTGCAATCCCTTTTAACACCAGTTATCCAGAGACACCAAAAAATCCCGAATATTTTTGGGATTTTCTGTGCCTGACTGTATCTGATAGCTGGATAAATACCTCGGCTGATATCTGACTGAAAAAATATCCGAAAAATACCAGTTCGGGGTGGGGGATTCAGCCTGGATAAACTAAATGCACACCCCTAGATATTATAGCATTGGAAAAGGTGTAGAAAAGGGCAACTAAAATTATTAAGGGGATGAAACACCTTCCCTATGAAAAAAGGCTAAAGGAGTTAGGGCTCTGTAGCTTGGAGAAACAAGAATTGAGGGGTGACATGATAGAGGTTTACAAAATTATGCATGGGACAGAGAAGACAGGGAAATAAGTACTTTTCTCCCTTTCTCACAATACAAGAACTCGTGGCCGCTCAAATTAATGAGCAGTAGGCTTAGAACAGATAAAAAGAAGTATTTCTTCACCCAAAGAGTCATTAACACGTGGAATTCACTGCCGCAGGAAGTGATGGCAGCTACAAACACAGACAGCTTCAAGAGAGGACTGGAGGAACAGATGGAACCAGAGGTCCATCAGTGGCTCTTAGCCAGAAGGAATAGATGGAACACTATGTCGGAAGCAGTATTCTCGGTGCTTGGAGGGCAACAGAGTGTTGGACTAGATGGGCCATTGACCTGATCCAACATGGCTTCTCTTACGTTCTTATCTGCTTGGCATGCTAAAGGTCCCAGTTTCAATCCCCAGCATCTCTAGTTAAAAGGTAGCAGGTGATGTGAAAGACTTCTGCCAGAGACCCTGGAGAGCTGCTGCCAGTCTGAGTGGACAATACTGACTTTGATAGACCCAGGGTCTGATTCAGTAGAAGGCCGCATCATGCGTGTTCAAATTATGCGATTTGGCAGCAATAGGGGGACAAATGATGGCTTGTATTAAGATTCTAAATCTAAAGGCTATAAATCTCTTGAATATAGAACCTGATGGATTCCAAGTCTCTGAAGCTGATTGTGAGCATGACACTGCATGATCGGACCACAAAATCCTTGCTGCACCTACACAAGAAGAAGAAACCTCCTAGTATCAGTGCTCAATTCCAGGTAAGAGGAGGCCCACCTGAGAACCTTTTTTTTTAATGTATTGCCTTGGGAAGTGGGGGGAGAGCCATGACTGGCTCTATGGGGGAGCAGCTCCTGACAACTCCCTGCTTTGTGACTCGTTCCAGACTTCCCTCAACAAGCTCCTTGAGACCCTGGGGAAAGCTGAACCATTTTTTATCCGTTGCATCCGCTCCAATTCTGAGAAGGTAGGTAAACACTCCTTCTCAGTGAGGGATAGGTTGGATCCAGAGCTTGGGGCTGGATAGCAGGGTGCCCCTTGAATCGTGGAAGGAGTCATAGAATCATAGAGTCGGAAGGGGCCATACAGACCATCTAGTCCAACCCCCTGCCCAATGCAGGACCAGCCTAAAGCATCTCTGACAAATATTCGTCCAGCCTCTTCTTGAAAGCTGCCAGTGAAGGGGAGCTCACCACCTCCCTAGACAGCTGATTGCACCTTTGAAGCACTCTGACCGTGAAAAGGTTTTTCCTCATATCCAGCCGATACCTTTCTGCATGTACTTTAAATCTGTTGCTTCAGGTCCTCTCCTCTGCTGCCAACTGGAACAGCTCCTTGCCCTCCACCGAATGACAGCCTTTCAGATATTTAAAGAGAGCAATCATGTCCCCACCTCAATCTCCTCTTCTCCAAACTAAACATCACCAAGGGCCTTAGCCTTTCCTCATAGGGCTCGGTCTCCAGACCCCTGATCATCCTCGTCACTCTCTTCTGCACCCTCTCGATGAGTCTTCCACTCATGGGTCATCTTGGAGTCCAGTTTCCACATAGACACCCTGATTTAGTTGTGACGGGACGGGAGGACCTAGCTAGCTCCTAACCTCGTGGCCGTAACCACCTGTTGGAGCAGTGAATTCCATCAATTAATTACGTTGTTTTCTCTGTCACCAAAGGAGGTTATCATTTAAATGTAGGTGGTCAAGGACCCATATGTTTGTGAAACTCTTCCAGTTGCTCTATACATAATGGGTACTACTAAAAACATATGAAGAAATGATAGCAGTCTAAAAAGCATGCTAGGTAGTCAACAGTGGTGCACCCAACAATTCTGGTGAGTAGGCCTTTTGTTTTGTTTTGGACTTTGGAAGAAGATGTGTGTTGTGAGGTCCACCATCTCTTTTATCTTTCAGAGGGAGCTGTTCTTTGATGATAGGTTGGTGCTACAGCAGTTGAGATACACCGGGATGTTGGAGACTGTGAGAATCCGGCGGTCTGGCTACAGTGCCAAATTTTCCTTCCAGGTATTCTTCGGCACCACCTTTGTGTTCACCAGGAAATGTCGTTTGGCTGATGTTGACTGACCATGGGTCAGGAAATGTCGTTTGGCTGATGTTGACTGACCATTTAGTGTTGAGCAGACCCCACTGAAAATTAATCTTGCTAAATGAAGGAAACCAGTGGGCTTGTAGGACTGCTCTCTCCCCCCCCCAGTGATCTTGAGACTCTCCCAATAACGGGTTCCCTCCTTGATAGCTGATGTGGTGTGTGTGTGTGTGTGTGTCCCTTTCTTTTGGTACTTGTCATCTGCCTCTGGAACCAAATGAATATGATTTAGTCATAGAATTGGAAGGGGCCTTAGAGCAGAGGTGTCAATAATACGGCCCACGGGCCAGATCTGGCCCATGAGCATGCGAGGGAGGGAACATGAGATGTGAGAGAGGGGAACAGGAAGCTGCTTGGGGGAGTGAGCCAGCGAGCCCCTCCAGTCGTAGCTTCAGCGCGTGGTGGAACAACCCCCTCTGTAGCGGTCTGCTTCAGTGTTAGCCTCCCTGGTAAATAGGGGGGCGCCACAACTGCAGTCACGTCTGCCTCCCCTCCTCCCCACAGCACATGGCGAGGCAACTCTTTTCTCAACCCGCGCTGGGCAACGCCCAGCAGACATGGCATACCAAGGGTGGGGCTGGGGGAATAGGGGAATGGCTGGCGTGCATTCAGTGAGAGTGCTCAGAAGCCCAATGGGGGAGGCTTTGCATTGGAGGAGAGGAGGAATGCAAAGCCCGCCCTCGAGCGAGTCTCAATCAAAAAGAGAAAAGTTAGGGGGAAAATACATTCTCTTCTTGCTCAGCACAACATTCTTAACTTTGCTGAGCAAAGTTTGGGAACCCAGCTGGGCCGATGTCTCACCGAAGCCTGTCTTTCTTCCTGCCTTCCCAGGATTTTGTAGACCAGTTCCAGGTGCTTCTGCCCAAGAACACCAAAGCCTGCAAGGAGGAGATCTCTGCTCTGCTGACCAAGTTGGAACTGGACACTAGCAGCTACCAGATCGGGAACACCAAGGTGGGTACATATTTTTTAAAAACCAAGTTTGTTTACGTACCTCATTTATAGTGTGATTTTTGTGGGTGAGTCTCAAGGCAGATTACTGATTCTAAAAGTATGCAACAGAACAGTCTCCTGCCTAACTGTGGTTCCCGATATTAAAGCCACAACCCTTTTTCCTTTATACAAGTGTCTTCCTGAGAAATTACTTTTTATACATTTTGCCTAATAATAAAAGCAGGGGAGCTTTCCCAGCCTCCTCGGGCAGGCCATTTCCCAGGTGGGAGTGGTCACCTACAAGCAGCCGTGGAACTTGCCCATAGGCACTTTCAGAAGGCTTTGCTCCGAACAACGAAGCTGCCGCACTGCAGAGGCCTTGCTATAGATATGTGAGTCCTAGGCTGTGAAGGGCTTTGTAGGTGATGACAGGTGCATTGAACTGGACCTGGAAACTAATCAGTAACCAACAGGATGGCTGCAGGTTAGGTGTAACACGGACACTTTGTTCAGCTCCTGAGACTAGTCAAGCTACGGCGTTCTGTACCAACTGGAGTTTCTTACTGATTTTCAAGGGCAGACCCATGTGGCGCATGTTGCAGTAGCATGTTGAGATTGAAGGGCTTTGTAGGTGATGACAGGTGCATTGAACTGGACCTGGAAACTAATCAGTAACCAAGAGGATGGCTGCAGGTTAGGTGTAACACGGACACTTTGTTCAGCTCCTGAGACTAGTCGAGCTACAGCGTTCTGTACCAACTGGAGTTTCTTACTGATTTTCAAGGGCAGACCCATGTGGAGCATGTTGCAGTAGTCTACCCTTGAGATCACTGTGGCTTGTATCCATTTGGCCAGATTGGGCAGGTCAAGGTAGCGGGGGAACCACCCTCCAGATCAAGGGAAGATGGAAAGAAAACATTTTGCGCAACATAATTAACTTGATCTTTAGCAATAAGGAAGGTCAAGTATAATCCCTAAGACACTTCACGGAGTCATCAAGGGTCACCAGGGACCTCCCATCAGGAGTGGAATCCACAAACCCCATGCTAGAATAGTGAACCCTCTTCTGCCTCGCTGTGCATGGAGAGCACTTGGCAACATGGAAGAATTCCTTTCCTTCCTGGCATCACTGACAGCACCCTTGCAGGTCTGCTGCTGAGACTTCCTGGACTGTGGCCACTCTCCCATCCTGTGTTTTGAGCTTTTTCCTCTGTGCTTCAGGGGTCTGACAACACAGGGCTCCCAGCTGTGTCCCCCATTCCCCCTCTTCCCCTGTGCCGGGAGCAGAGAGCAGTTTTTCTCATGCTCCTTTTAGTTCCACTGCTGCCAGTAGACTTAAAAGGTCCAATAAAGACTTAAAAGGTCCGGTGCCGGGAGCAGAGAGCAGTTTTTCTCATCCTCCTTTTACTTCCATTGCTGCCAGTGGACTTAAAAGGACCAATAAAGAGATGCTGCAGGGGCCTCCTGGCAGACCACCGGAGGTACCTGCAGGAGGCAGTGGAAGCCTTCAGGCTGCTCTTGTGCTCTGCTTCCTCCGCTGCCCACCGGACACGTCTCCCTATCTGTGTCTTCTGCCGGTTTGTGGGTTCAGCCATGCCCAACCCCCTGTAACAAACTATCTTGTTTCCAGACTTGTTCATTTGGTAACCATTACACCAGAGTTCCGTACAGCAGCGTTCCGTGCGCCTCGGTGTTTAGTCATGCTGGCCACATGACCACGGAAACGTCTTCGGACAGTGCTGGCTCTTCAGCTTTGAAACGGAGATGAGCACCACAACCCTAGAGTCGGACTCGACTGGCTTTCGAGCAAGGGAAACCTTTACCTTTACCTTACACCGAAGTACCCTGTCATCTACTGCAAAATGACGCCCCACGTTTTGAGCACTGGATGCCTTGTACTAAAGTAAATAATAATAATTGTGGCCATAGGTTAGGGATAAATGAGTAACTGTAGCCGCTCAGAGACCCCTTAGGGGGTTAGAGCGGGGTAGTAAGCTGAAATAAATAAATAAATAAATAAATATGGCTCTTTCCCCTTCAGGAGGCATGGTTATTACCACCGTGTCGCATTGAATCCTGGAGGGGCAGCCGTGTTAGGCAGTTGCAGCCAAAGCAATATGGAGTCTGGTGGCACCGTAAAGACACAAATGTGGGTTGCGCAGGTGCCTGTGGTTGTGCACTCCCCACCTGTGTGGCTGCTAGGTTTTACTGCATTCACTGGGCCAGAGATGGAGGAGGAAAGCTTTGCTCCTGTCAGTGACGCGGGTGTCGTTCCAGGTGTTCATGAAGGAAGCCCTGCGGCAGGCACTCCAGGACACTCTGCACAGGGAAGTCATCTGGAAGATTGTCCTCCTCCAGAGCTGGCTCCGGATGGGGCTGGAGAGGAGACGCTTCCTCCGGATGCGCCAGGCAGCCATCACCGTGCAGGTAAGGGCGTTTTCACTTGCCGGCGCCAGTCCTGGCACCCGCCACCCTCTGCTTCCCACTTGAGAGCCAGTTTGGTGTAGTGGTTAAGTGTGCGGACTCTAATCTGGGAGAACCGGGTTTGATTCCCCACTCCTCCACTTGCACCTGCTGATGTGACCTTGGGTCAGTCACAAGCTCTGGCACAGCTGTTCCTGAAAGAGCAGTTCTCTCAGAGCTCTCTCAGCCCCACCTACCTCACAGGGTGTCTGTTGTGGAGAGGGGAAGAGAAAGGAGTTTGTAAGCCGCTCTGAGACTCCAAGTGAAGGGCAGGGTATAAATCCAATCTCTTCTCTTCTTCTTCTCTTCTTGTGCTTTCTGGCCCACAGGCCTGCTGGCGATCGCACCGTGTCCGGAGGGCGAGGGCGAGGGAGATGGCTGCACTCTTCATCCAGTCAGCGTGGCGTGGGTACAGGGAGCGGAAATCTTACCAGCAGCAGAGGAAAAGGATTTGCCTCCTTCAGGCTGTCGTCAGGGGATACCTGCAGCGCAAGCAGTAAGCAACATCCGGGATGGGATGGGTGTGTGAGACCTGTGGGCGCGGACAGCGGGGCCACCTCGTAGCCTTCTGGCTCCTCTGCTTGCCAAAAGAAAGTCATGCTGGCTTGATCTCTCTTCCATTGCGGCACCTTCACTGCCGGTGGCCAGAGGGTGAAGCCGCGGCTTTTTGGCCAGCGGGGATCAGGTGTCCTGGCAGTCCAGTAGAATTCCATTGGGCCTTAGCCCTCATCGTTTCTGTCTGACCGAAGGGAGCATTTGAGCCTGGGGCACGCTGCCTACGGAGCCAGGGGCCTTCCTACTGAGCCAGGGCTCGTCTCTGAATTTTTTGTGTGCTTTGTCATCTTTGCTCTAGATTTCATCAGATGGTTGCAGAAAGGCAAAGCAAGGAGGCCGAGCAGCTCGTTCACCCCGGGCAAGAAGAAAACACGCTGACCTGGGTGGAGGAACCTGCCTTGGACCAGGGAGCCACGGAACCCGAGACGCAGGGGAGTCCAAGCACCGGAGTGGTGGCCGAGGACAGGGCTGAGAACGAGCCGGCAGCACAGCAGGTGCCTCTTCCCCCGAAAAGCGCAGCCAGCAGTCGGGAGAAGCGGGCATCCCGCCGGCAGAGGGGCCTGGAACACAATGAGCTGCAGAACAAGCACGTGGCGCTTGCCTTGGAGGGGCCGGCAGGAGCCCTTTGCAGGGAAGGCAGCCCACCTCGGGAGGAGGAGGAGGCGGCGGTGGCAGCTCCTTCTGGACCTTCCAAGGGCGCAGCAGCAGCAGAGGTGCCACAAGTGACTGAGGAGCTGCCCTTTCCTTTGGACAACGGCACTGTGGCCTTGAACTCCCTCTCCAGATCACAGCGGGAAGAGGTGGGGGTGGCCAGTGTGGAGACTAATGGGTTAGGGAGGCCAGAAGGCCACAAGAGCCAGATCCGGGGCAGCCAAAGCTTCACCTGTCCCGAGAGGCCCTCAGAGCTGGCGCTGAACCTCCAGAACCACCTGGCCACCAGCAAGAGCTTCCGGGCCCCCGCTGTGCCATCTGGTGACAGGAACAGGCCGGGAGCTCAGAGGGAGCTGGGTAGCCCCTCCTCCTCCTCCTCCTCCTTCCAGATCCAGCGCTACCAGGACGACCCCGAGAAGCTGCGGGACAAGAGGGAGCGGTGGAAGGGTCTCGCCGGAGGACAGGGTGACGTCCTCAGCCAGTCCCTGGAGGAGAGAAGCGGGCACAGCCCGTCTCCGCCCCGACATCTTACGTGAGTGCCGATCCCTGCTGGAAGTCACTCTGGGCCGAGGAGAATGCCCCCCCCGGGATGGCTGGAGGTGGTCGAAGCTGGGCTCTAGCCAGCCTCTGCCTCCAGCACTGAGCACAACGGCTGGAAAGGGGGAAACCCCGCTCCCCGAATGCTGTGCTTCAGCTGGGTTGTTTAGATTGCCCTGTGGCTTGCAGAGTCATACAGTCAGAACTGGCAAGGTGCTGAAAGCACGGGGAATGACCACTTGGCCTTCTGCTCCCTGGCCCGTGCCTTCCCCGGCAAACCTCCCTGCTACTTCCCTCTCCAGCGGTCTTCTTTAAATTTGCACTTCTAGCCTGTCTGTCTTCCATCCTGGAACTGAGTTCCGGGACGGGGGTGGGGGGTGGGTTCCCAGCCAGCCAGCCAGCCATGGGCGGGACCCACATCAACCAGGAGGACCCACATCAACCAGCAGTGTACACGCGCTTTGGGCCCTAGCTGGCTGTGTGCACACTGTGTCCACCTGCACAGTGGCCATCGGGGGCATTTGGGGGCTGTCGCTGTGACCCATGGCAGGAAAGAAACGAATAGGCGACCCTCACTCTCTAGGGGGCTTCTGAGCTCTCCGCGGCTCGAGTGGGCCAGTTTCTTCATCTCTCTTTGTCTCCCATCCCCCTTTCACTGAGAACACTCTGTGCCCCCTGGACCAGTTTTGATCTCCGCAAGGCTGTGTTTTGGTTTTCCCTTTTCTCTTTGGTTGACTTACAAAACCCACTTTTATCTACCCGCCCAGGAAGGGGAGGGGACGAGGCACAGCAATATAGTATCTGCTTTGCATGCAGAAGGCCCCTAGGTTCAATCCCCGGCACCTCCACTTAAATGATTGGATAGTAGGTGACGGGAAAGACCTCTGCCTGAGACCCTGGAGAGCTGCCACCAGTCTGAGTAGACAACACTGACCTTGATGGACCAAGGGTCCGATTCAGTAGAAGGCAACTTCTTGTGCTCGTGTGAAAGTCTTGACAAGTTTGTAGAAACCCAGGTGTTCTCTTGCGTGCTGCCTAGGCAGCTTCGAGATAAAAGCCCACCAGATACCGTCTGGAGTCAAAAGCTCGCACGAGTTTCTAGAAAGGATGGGGGTCCTGGGGGCTGATGGACCTCCTCCTGGGGCCGGGAGTCCCATGGCTGAAAGAAAAGCCCCGCTACAGAGTTTGTGGTCCTGTTTTCAAATGCTGCTTTCTTGTCTCCCGGCAGAAGGAAAGAGATGACTTCTTCCTTGGACGACCTTCACAAGCTGGCCCAGCCCACTGCCACAGACCAGGTTAGGGGAGTCCTGTAGCCTTTTCATGATGGAGGGGAGGGGGTCTGGCTTGTGCACTGAGGGGTCCCTTTCCCAGCTGAGCACCTCAGGTGGGACTCGCTCAGGGGCAGCATGGCAGACGATTCCAGCCATGCGCTCCCTTTCAGCAGGTTCACCCTTTGTGTTAAAACGGGCGTCAGCCATGTGACTGGAGTGTGCCCTGAGGCCGGCTGCCTCCTCGCATGTGGCTGGAAAGGGCCCCCGTCTTCCTCTCCCCTCTTCTTTTCCCCCAGCAGTCTCCAGACACCTCAGAGAGCAACGGGAGCAGCAAGAAGCCACACATCCTGAGAAAGGCTGGGGAGCCGCCGGCCACCCTTGACGCAGCTGTCCCAGCATCCGGGCCCGGCCAGCAGGGGGACACCAAGTAGGTGTCCTCTGGCACCCATCAGGTGGCCCCAGAGGAGTCAGAGAATAAGGAAATGGGCCGGGGAGACTCACGGACACACATGCTGGCACTGGGCAATTTCCCCCTCTTCCAACGCCAGAGCCTTCATTGTTCAGGCTTGGTGTTCTGGCCCTGCTGAGCCTTCATTGTTCAGGCTTGGTGTTCTGGCCCTGCTGGGCCTGCTGCTTAGCCGCCACCAACAGCATCGCATCTGGGCCTTTGCAAAATCCTTGGCTGCCCTCAGGTGCCAGGGGGCACTCACAGGCTGTGTGCGATCCACCCTGCAGAGTCCCGTCCCATCCCCCTCCTATAGCAGTGTCTCTGCCTCCCCTTATTCCACACTCTGGTTCTGCAGTCAGAATCCTTTTTTTTGGCCAACAGTGTGTGGATTGCTTTTCTCTTGCCAGGTCCACTTTCAAGATCCCCCTGAGGAGGCTCCTGGGGAAGAAGATGGAGAAGAAGACCTTCAAGGACAGCTGTGATGTGGTGGAGGAGGCTGAGACCATCCCGCTCCTTTCATGTGTGCTGGCAACCGAGGAAAAGGCAGCAGAAGGTGAGGATTGGCCTGTATCTGTTCCATCCTGGACAGAGAGAACAATCCCATGGAGCTGCTTAGGTCTGTCACTTGGAGGATTCCTCTACAAAAGTGGAAAGAAACACATGTCAAGAGTCGAAAGCGTTTGCCTTTACAGAACATTTTTAAGTGGCTTTCAAGGAAATGTTGCACTATTCTGTCTCATACTGAACACATTAAATCCACTTTCAAGCTAGCTCTGTTTAAAGTATTTCTACCCACCTCTGCATATTAATATCTGTGTGGCAGCTTAAAGCAATTATTTACACATCCCAGTGAAATAAAAATAGAAGCAGCGGCTAATCCAAGATTAAAAGCAATTTAAAACAGCATCAGATTTAAAATTTGCAGACAAAGCCCCCTTGGATTAAGATTGGGAAGAGATTTTAAAACCTTAAAAACTGAAAGCATTAAAAACCCACAAAGGAGCCCTTGACAACAGCAGCAAGATCAAAGCCCAACAGATGATAAAAACTCCTCAAGGGAAGGGGGCATGACAGCCTGCAAGTTTATTTAATATAAAGTTTATAAATTTAGCACCAAGCGAGCTTTACCGCCATTGGGGTTCTCAAAGCTCCATGAAAGGGATTCTGACTTGGCGAAACTAGTTCCCGGAGGTCTTTCCGAAACCTTGGAGCAAGGGTGGGTTAAAGACATGGAGAAATGCCCTTCATCCAAGAATTTACCCCAGGATTTCAGGAGCCCAGCTGCAGAATAGTAGCTGTCGGGATGGAAGCCATCAAGCTCCCAGCACACAAAAAAACACTCTTGGCTGTGCTAATGACACTGGCCAAAGCAGGACAACGGTTTACCGCTTCGCACCTTCCTAAAATGTTGCACTCAAAGGGACAGAGACTGCTAAGAGCCAAACTGCTGGAAAGTAAATTCTTCCTTTTGGGTCAGAAAGATCCAAATGACCCCCAGATGGGATGGGCTCCCCAAGGCAGATTATGAAAGCTCCGGGCCTGAGGAAGCAGCTCTCTCTGGCACTTTGGGAGGGGCACAAGCCACAGGCCATGCCGGAGTGAGCTTTTACTTGGGGGATTCCATCTTAGGTCCGCACAGCAAAGGACAATGCGGAGAAGCCCAACCATGGGGGACTAAGGTAATGATAAACGTCATATCAAGTAAAGCTGGCCTGTCCTGTTTAAACGTTGTCTAGGATAAGTACTGAACGGAGGGAAAGGGGACATTCATGTTTTCACCGGTTTGGTGTAGTGGTTAAGAGTGCGGTCTCTAATCTGGGAGAACTGGGTTGGATTCCCCACTCCTCCACATGCACCTGCTGGATGACCTTGGGCAAGCCATAGTTCTGATAAGAGCTGTTCTTGAAAAAAAAAAGTTTCTGTCAGAGCTCTCTCAGCCCCACCTACCTCACAGGGTGTCTGTTGTTGTGGGGAGGGGAAGGGGAAGGAGTTTGTAAGCCACTCTGAGACACCTTTGGGTAGTGAATGGCGGGGTATAAATCCAATCTCCTCCTCCTCTTCTTGAAAAAGAACAGTTTTTGTCAAGAGCTCTCTCAGCCCCACCTACCTCACAGGGGAAGGGAAGGGAAAGGAGTTTGTAAGCTGCTCTGAGACACCTTTGGGTAGTGAAGGGCGGGGTATAAATCCAATCTCCTCCTCCTCCTTTCCCTTTCTCAGCCTGAAATTGCCTCTGTGGCGTCTTTATTCATGTATTAAACTTCCTTGTGTTTTGAATGCACTGATCTCTGGAAGCAAATCCGAGCCTGTTTGGTCTTGCAGTCTGAAGGGCAGTAATAGGGAGAAGCAGCGGGGGAACTCCCCATCCCCAGAGTGCAGCGGCTTGAAACGGCAAAGGAGCGATAGATCGCTCCCTCACTAACTGTAGGAGCAGCATCTAGGCAGAACCTCTAAATGGCAGCGCAGGTACAGAGTGTGAAGGGGACAATGACATGTATCAGGAGCAGGGCCAGCTCACTTACTAGGCAAACTAGGCATTCGCCTAGAGTGCGCCAGCCCTTAGGGGCGCCAAACTGCACCCACCCACCCCGCCAAAAGCCCTGCATTTCCGCAGCCAGGTGACCCCCGTCGCTGCCTCTGCCACCCGCTGCCTCTATGGCCGACTAACTTCTCCCTGCCTGCCCCCTTGGCTTCCCAGCAGAGCGCTTCTCCTCCTCCTCCTCCTCCTCGCGGCCGGGGACTGGCAGCTGCAGCAAGAGCAGCAGCGGCAGCAGGGCCGGGGGAGCAACGGGTTGTGAATGCCCCGCCGGTCAGTCTCTTCTCTGGGCACCCTGACGAGGGGTGCCAAACTGCACCCGCCCCCCGCCAAAAGCCCCCCCCACTGGCTCTGACCGGGGGGGGGACACCGTGGCACATGGGGGGGCACCAGAAGGGATCCTCGCCTAGGGTGCAAAATAAGCTGGGGCCGGCCCTGATCAGGAGAAGCTCTAAGGGCCACTAGTGGTGGCGGTTGTTGCCCAGTTTGCTTTTCACACCCCTGGGAAGTGGAGGGGAAGGGGCGTCGTTGCTGAGCAGAGACGTGGGGCTCAACCCGAAGGCACAGGTTAAGGCGGTGCGAGTCTGTTCCTTCACAGAAACTATCCAGCTTCTTTTCCCCAGCTCCTTCCTGGCACCTGAATCACCCCCAGGATGAGGAACGGCACGTGAAGGAAGTGGGCAAAGCCAAGAGGACCCGCACCCTTAAGATCAGCAAAGCCAAGACAGCGCCTGAGAAGTGGCAGGCACCGTTCTTACGAGAGATCGCCAATGCCAACGAGCTGAAGTACTTGGACGAGTTCCTCCTGAACAAGGTGAGAGAGGGCCAGGAAACGGAGCACCAGGCCTCCGTCCCCTCTGAGAAGACCCACCCGGGGCACGTTAAGAGGCAGCAACCGACGTTTTAAAAGCGAATCGATCATCTGCCCTTCCAAACGCTACACAGACCGGAATGTGAGGATTCCGAGGGCTAGATCCAGTTCTGCTCTCGGTGGTCCTTTCCTCCGGAGGCCGGCTGTTGCCAGGGGAGAGTTGCGCTGTTAGTAGAAAGAACTGCAGAATCCAGCCCCTCTTGAGTCCTCTCTTCTTTGCTGCAGTGCAGTGTCAAGACAAAAGTAAATTCCAAAGGGGAAAGAAGGATCTCCGCCATGCCAGTTAATCAGTATTTATTTATTTATCCATCTCTTGGGTAATCGGTCCATCAGGCCTGTAGTGGACTCTGCTGCCGAAAGGGCTCTGCTGCCTGTCCGGCTGTGCCGTCAAGTGGAGCAGCAGGGCTGTTGGGCAGCACTTGTCTTGGCAGGTGGTGAACAAGAGCCGCCGAAGTGTAGGACTTTTTCAGGCAGGACCTTCCACTTCCCCTGGCAGCTCCAGCTCCGAGACCGAAGGTTGCCTTACCTGGGCAGGGCCTTGCTTTGCCATCTGTGGACAGCCGCTGCCTGCCGGCCAGAGCAAACCCAAATGGTCTCTCTGGGGTGGGGGTCTGACTCTGTGCAAAGGCTGCTCCGTATTTCCCCAGGTTTAGTAGTTCAGGGTCGTGCAGAGGTGTCCTAGGCTGTGTTCCCTCTAAGCTGAGTTAGTGTGAGCTAACTCACTGTTTTTCAGCTTCCAGCTCACACATTTTTGTCTTAGCTCAGGAAGGAGGGCTCCAGAGCAAACTAATTTTATGTAGCAGCCAAATCGCTCGGTCACCACTTTAATGCCAGTAGCTCACAAAGTAGAATTTTTGCTCACAAGGCTCTACAGTTTAGAGGGAGCACTGGTCCTGGGTACTGGGCCAGATGGGCCGGAGGTCTGCCTGTGGCAGGTTTTTGTCCGTTGTGCTGGTGGAAGTCAAGAGCAGTGTTCCCTCTAAGCTGAGTTAATGTGAGCCAGCTCACAGTTTTTTAGCCCCTGGCTCACAGATTTTTGTCTTGGCTCAGGAAGGATGGCTCCACAGCAGACTAACTTATGTGTTAGCCAAATTTCTCGCTCACAAGTTTAATGCCAGTAGCTCACAAAGTAGAGTTTTTGCTCACAAGACCCCACAGCTTAGGGGGAGCATTGGTCAAGAGTGGTGTTGCAGAGTGCCATGGGACGTGGAGCTGGGAGACCCAGGGGCAGATCCCTCTCTGCCCTTGGGCCGGGCACGCACTCGCAAGCCGCACCCACCTCATGGGGCTGTTGTGGGGGCCTCCGTCACTTTGGTTCCCTGTTGGGGAGAAAGGTCAGCTACACATCAAGTAAATAAAATAAGACAAATGTTAGCAGTCCATACTGCATGATCTGTGTCGTCTGCAGCATAATTTGTTCTGGTCAGAGGGTGAGGATCGTCTTGATGCAGGATGTGGAGGGGTGGGAGGGCTGTAGCTAAGCCCTTCCGATCTGTGTCGTCTGCAGCATAATTTGTTCTGGTCAGAGGGTGAGGATCGTCTTGATGCAGGATGTGGAGGGGTGGGAGGGCCGTAGCTGAGCTCTGCTCTTAAAAGGGGGAGGGGCAAGATATCCGTTGCTCCCTGAGCTGTTGATAAGTCTGTGTTGCTCCTTTCCAGATCAACGATCTCCATTCCCAGAAGTCTGCAGGCGAGTGCTTGTTCTTCGAAGCCACGGAAAAGTTCAGAGGGAACATCAAAACCATGTATTCTGCCCCTGTAAGTAGCTGATCCAGAAGCTCCAGGCTGGAGGGTTAATTTTACCTCATTGAGTTAGGTCCAGGGGTCGTTTCCTGCAGGAGCGCACAGGAGTGGAGCTCCGGCAGTAAAGAGCCCAGGGGGCAGGCACATGCAACAAGCCCCACCCCCTGCTCCCAGCAGCCCTCAGTCAGAGCAAGAAGCAGCCAGGTAAGTTGCAGAGGCCCGCCCCCTGGTCCAAAACAGCCCAGTGGCACCTTTAAGACCAAGTTTTATTCAGGCACAAGCTCTCCCTCCTCTGCTAGGACAGATCCGCACATTCCCCCCACCCCCCAATAGCTAGCAATCCAAAACAATCCAGTGGCACCTTTAAGACCAAGTTTTATTCAGGCACAAGCTCTCCCTCCTCTGCAAGGACAGAACTGCACGTCCCCGTCCCCCCCCGAATAGCTAGGAATCCAAAACAGTCCAGTGGAGCCTGAGCGGTGGGTGTTTGATGTCGGGGGGGTGTGTGGCATATGCAAACAAGTTATTCTAATTGTTGCATGTGCCCGCCTGTTGGATCAGGCCAAAGGCCCATCCAGTCCAACACTCTGTGTCACACAGTGGCCAGAAATACCAGTGCCATCAGGAGGTCCACCAGTGGGGCCAGGACATTAGAAGCCCTCCCACTGTTGACCGCATCACTTGCCCCAGAGCCCCTATCTCCTTTGAGCTTGTGGGACTCCTTGCTATGGGGCCTCTCTAGCAAACCGGCTTCAAACAAAATTGCAGATAGCCTCATTGGTCCATTTAAAAACTACAAAACTAAAGGAACAAGAGAGTGACCTTTTTAATGAAAGACGATGCCTCCAAGATGTCCTGCCGTCCAGTGAAACGTCTCTGTTGTCAGATTTCAGCAGACGTCTATTTGGCTGCCATGAAAGAGGGCATTAAAATTATCATAGCAACTCAGTTATAATTGCTGGAACGACAGCTGCTGAGATTCCATTTACCTGCTCTTCACTCCAAAACGGGACTCTCCTATAAACATGAAAAAACAATTTAAAATAGATTTTTTAAAAACCCAAACCCCGACAACTTAGTACCAGGTGGATAGGCCTGTTGGTCTGAAGCAACAGAACAAAGTTTGAGTTCAGTGGCACCTTTGAGACCAACAAGGTTTAACTCTTTTAAGACTAACAACTTAGTACAACAACCAGGGCTTTTTTAAAAGAAAAAGAGGAGCCGGAACTCTCAAGAGGGAGATGAAGTTTTCAATCTGTATACTGAAAACTCACAAACTTCTAAACATTTTAAAAAGAGTTTTGTTGGAGAGGTTCCAGAACTCCATTCCGGTCTGCTCCCCCCAGAAAAAAGCCCTGACAACAACTGTCCTATAATCAAATGGAACAGCTGCTAAAGAAGTAAAAAAAAAACCTGTGTGTTTATTTACGTGTTTGGATGCTGCTTTTATCCCTGAAGGAGCTGCGGTGGCTCAAGTGGTTAAGACGCTGAACTGCAGTCTGTGGAAGGTCGGTAGTTCAGCAGTTCGAGACCCGAGTGTGCCGCATGACGGAGTGAGCTCCCGTCTGTGGCCCCAGCTCCTGCCAACCTAGCAGTTCGAAAGCAAGAAATTGCAAGTAGATAAATAGGTACCACTTCGGTGGGAAGGTAACAGCCTTCCGTGCGCCTTGGTGTTTAGTCATGCCGGCCCCATGACCATGGAAACGTCTTCGGACAGCGCTGGCTCTTCGGCTTTGAAACGGAGATGAGCACCGCAACCCTAGAGTCGGATTCGACTGGCTTTCGAGCAAGGGAACCTTTACCTTTATCCCCGAAGAGCCCAAAGCTGTTTTCAGATATTTCCAGACCAAATCAAGCAAGATCGTTGTAGTCCCTTGGCCTGTGAGACATAAGCCCGAGAGCCCTTTGGTCATGTCTGTTGGCCTGCGTGCCTAGCCATTCCCCCCCCCCCGGGGTCTCCCTCCCTTGCTCCTAGCCTCAGTAACGTGTGTTGCAAAGAGGCCTGCAACACTTCAAACTCATCGGCATGAGGTAGCCCTCAGTGGGTATTTATTTTGCATCATGAATGTTGCTGTGCATGAAATGTTTTTGAAGGAGCTTCCAAACCTCCCAACTAGGAACAACGAACAAGAAATGCTTTTTTAAAACCACACAAGCAGCACAGCATAAATCAGAGCAATCAAGGTGGAGAAGAAGAGTGGGAACCCCCTCGCGAAATGCAGTGCCAGGTGGATAAAACACAAAGCTTGCGAAGCCTGGCCCCAGAAACATCAACACCTACTACATGTTAAAGTCATAAATGAGTCTGCCAAGATGGGGGAGGGGTATAAAAAAATCTCTGGAGAATAAAAACATGGAACTGATTGCAGCTTGGGCGGAAGGGGAGTGCCCCTGGGGTGGGCAGTTTCAGAGTCTTGGCAGGATGCCACCTGGGGAGGCAGACTGTTAAGATGTCCGTTGGGTTGTCTGTGCACTTGGTATCCCTAAACCAGGGGTGTCAAACATGCGTTCCGGGGACCAGATCAGGCCCCCGGAGGGTTTCTATCAGGCCCGCAGTGGAACTGGTTGTCTTCTGCTTCTTCTTCCAGTTTTGCTGCTGCTGCATCATCGTAGGTTTGCAGCTTACAGATACCTGAACAGCCTACTCAGGATTGCAACAGCACAGACATTTTGATGCAATAATTCAGAGCAAGAGGTGTCAGTTATCAGACACTGTTAAATAAACAAAATATTGCAAGAGTGCTCATGTTTTAAGCATGTTTTAAAGTTAAAAAAAAAACCTTTGTGTTTGTGTCGTTTATAAGGTTTATATCTCCACTACCTGGCATTACATCTTAGGACACACACGGCCTGGCCCAACAAGGTCTCATTTATGTCAAATCCGGCCCTCATAACAAATGAGTTCGGCACCCCTGCCCTTAACGTGTGGGGGGTAACTGTGTGTTTTTTAACATTTATTAGAACGGACAGATCCATGTGGGCTACCGGGACCTGATGGACAACTACCAGCTCCTCGTGGTCAACTTGGCAAAGCAGAGAGAAGAGAAGGACGTAAAGCTGGTCTTGAACCTCTTCCAGTCTCTCCTGGATGAATTTGCCCGCAGCTACGCCAAGAGGGAGCAGGAGCATCAGAAGGTTGGCCGTTGCCTTCCTGCGTGGGGACCTCGGACTGCTTCTCCCAGAGTGTTTGGGCCCTGGGTCACTTCCAGGGGGAGGGGACCGTTTGCACCCTCACCGCAGAGCCCGACTGACTCCAGGTGGACTCTGAGCTGCACCCCAGCCTGTGGCATTCGTTGCCGGGGGGGGGGCTCTGTTGGCTCCTCTTGCCCCAGGGTATCTGGAGCCCCCCTGTGTGCGGCTTTGCTTCAGGCTGTACCAGCCTGGCTTTCTAGGAGACGAGGAGAGGGGGGCACTGGGGGAAGCAGCTGGGATTCTGGCGGGCTGCTCTGCTCTCCCAGGCAAGATGTCTTGGAGGAAGGGGGCTGCGGCCGCACCCAGGAACTCTCAGGGGGTCCCCAGGGTGATGCCCACAGGCCCCGTGGTGTCTGCCACCATCTTCCCCGATGTCCGCCAAGTGCTTTCAGAAAGTGGGCAGGGCCAAGTGAGGCTTTTGCAAGGCTTCTGATTGGCTCCTGGAGAGATTTGATTTTTTAAAAAAAAAACATTGCTTTGCTGGTGGCACGAGGATCTCCACCGTGTCACTGAAGGTAAGCCATGGGGGCCGTTTTGTGGCTGGCTTCACCTGCTGCGGCAGCTGTTTTGGGGCTATGCCTGCCACTCTGCCCTTAGGCTCAGAAAGGTCCGGGACCCCTGATCTATGTAGCTGGGCCTTCAGGATGCCCAAATGAAACAGGTGAAGAATGCGGGTATTCTTCAGGTTGCCACGTCTCCAGGGAGAAGCAACTGCCCCCCCCCCCCCCCCCCCCGGCCCCCCGGGGGACCCCCCATTTGAAAGAGGAGTATGTTCTCCGAATGCCTTAGAGGGCAGCCAAAGGAAGGAGGGCCTGTAGTGAGAAAGAGAGGATCAAGGGCTGCCTCAAGACACGTGCCCCTTTCTTCTTTTCCCCCAACAGCAAAGCAAAGCGCAGAAGAAGAAACGGAAGCACGAGCGGGTGGTGAGTGTTACGGGAGGGAAGGGGCCTGGGGGCGGGAGACCTCTCCCCGGGGCCTGGCAGGGCCGTGGGAGAGCCCCTCGCTTTGGCCGCTCTCATCCTTTGCCCTCTCCTCCTCCTGGGCCACCAGATCGAAGAGCTCCACGGCCACGTCTTTGTGAGCTACCAGGTGAACATCCTGCAGTCCTGCGAGCAGTGCAGCTCCTACATCTGGCCCATGGAGAAGGCCTGCCTTTGCAGCAGTAAGTGGGACTTGGGTGGGTGTGCAAGCTGGGGGCCCCCGGCCCAGGCAGGATCTGTGCCTGGGGGAGGTGGAGATGACTACGCAGTGACGGGAAGTCCCCTCCCCACCCAGATAAGGAGGCAGGAACTTCTCCGCCAGCCGCCCCCCGAGGGAGGACAGTGCTGCCCGCGGCCACAGCTGAAGGACTTTGCGAGCCATCTTCCCTTGGCTTGCCGAACAGGAAGTCCATCTGCCTTTGCCGTCCCCTTCTCTGGGGGCCCTTCCCCATTCCTGCCCCTGCAGCCTCTGCTTTCCTTGAAATTTGCAATCCAGAAACAACAGAAATGTTGGCATTTCTGTAACGCTTCCGTTGTCCAAGGCACTTTGCGCTTCATCTTCTTGTACTCAAATTCATGCAGCAGCCAAAGCGCTGGCTCACAACTTGAATGCCAGTAGCTCACAAAGTAGAATTTTTGTTCACAAGACTCCACTGCTTAGAGGGAACATTGCCCAGCAGCCTCTGCTTCCCTTGAAATTTGCAATCCAGAAACAACAAAAATGTTGGCATTTCTGTAACGCTTCCATTGTCCGAGGCACTTTGCGCTTCATCTTCTTGTACTTGCAGCAGTCCTTTAAGGCAGGTCAGCATTCTGGTCCCCGTCTTGCAAGCGGCAGGCTGAGGCTGAGAAGTGGGGCTTGGGTAAGGGGCACCTTCCCTGCCTACTGAGGCCACAGCAGCAGAGGCAAGATTTTGAACCAGGGACCCGTCTGACTCGCAGCTCTGCCTTTGGGCTGCCGTAGCGATTTGCAGAGGTTTTTACCCCAGCTGAATTTTATTTATTTACTTAATTTATACCCCACCATTTTTCCCAGTGGAGACCCAAGGCAGCTTCTATCAATCTGCCTTCCTCCGTTCTACCCTCACAGCAACCCCGTGAGGCAGGTTAGGATGAGAGCGTGTCACTGGCCTAAGGTCACCCAGCAGGATTCTGTGGCAGAGCAGGGATTTGAACCTGGGCCTCTCAGATCCCAGTCTGACACTCTAACCCCGCTACTCCACGCTGGCTTTTGTAGCTGACTGGTGAAGGGGAAGGCCGATGGGGGTCCAGGTACAGTCTAACAAGCCCTCCCCCCCCAATCTCTCTTGCTCCCTCCAGTCTGCAAGCTGACTTGCCACAAGAAGTGCCTGTCCCGGGTCCAAAGCACCTGCACATCATGCTCTGGGAAGAAGGTAGGACAAGGCCTCTTCCGTGTGCCAGGCCTGCTGTGAGTGAGGTGGAAGGGCTGCGTTCTTCTGTCACAGCTCCAGATGCGTTGATTCATTTTAGCATGTCCTTGGCCACCTTCCCACACTGAGGCCATCAAGGGGCTGCTGGTGAAGGCAAAACGCTCCTTCGTGTAGGCAGGAGGACTCCTGAATGTAGGCCCCGGGTCAAGGCAGGCGCCTGTGTCCAGAAGCAAACAAACAAAAACCCTGCCCAGAGAAAGCTAGCATGTCAGTCTAGAACGTCACTCAGGAGTGACCAGTCACTCTCCGGGCCCTTAACCTTGATCTTCTGCCTGCTCCCCCGGTTGAGAAAGTGTGGGTGGCTGTGGTCAGGTCCTCACACAGAGTAAGCGCACGCCCAGTCCTCCCTTGCGTCTTTGGGCTGGTCTCTCCCCTGTCCTCAAGAGGGCTCGAGCGGGAGTGTAGTGCGGGAGAGTAGAAGCGGCGTAGTGCAGTAGTTCTCTTGCCAGGCAAAGGCCAAATGGGGGTCCCAAGTGGGACTTCACTTCAGAGCAGACTTTTGGGGGGTGGAGCACCCATGGCACAAATTCCCCAGATGTGGCTCTCTTCAGAGCCTCGTGTGTTGTGCTTCTGTCAGTCAGGTTATGTGGGAGGGACTCCGAAGCCAGAGAGGGGCTTGCAGCTTGACTGAAGTGCTGTCGTGACCAAGCTGGGAGGGGCTAGGCCAGAGAGCATTGACCACAGGGTGCTCAGAAAGTCCAGCAGTCCCAGGCAGAGTAGGTGTACACGGGAAACCTCACCCGGCCCGGACACGGAAAGGATTGACAGATTGATAGCTCTTTCTCGATTCTGTGGGTGGTGGCGCATGGCCGTTCTTAGTTGGTGGAGCGATTTGTCTGGTTAATTCCGATAACGAACGAGACTCTGGCATGCGAACTAGTTATGAGACCCCCGAGCGGTCGGCGTCCAACTTCTTAGAGGGACAAGTGGCGTTCAGCTACCCGAGATTGAGCAATAACAGGTCTGTGATGCCCTTAGATGTCCGGGGCTGCACGCGCGCTACACTGGTGGCTATTAGCCACAAGGTATTGATGCTCTGTATTTTGGTGCTTGGGGGGGGGGGCGACAGTGGGAGGGCTTCTAGTGTCCTCCTGGCCCCACTGGTGGGACCTCCTGATGGCACCTGGTATTTTTGGCCACTGTGTGACAGAGTGTTGGACTAGATGGGCCTTTGGCCTGATCCAACATTGGCGTCTCTTATGTTCTTATGTGTAAAATGGGGGGGGGTGTCTTGGGAGGGGGCATAAGCTACCATTGTGTGGCCAGGGTGACCAGATCACAAGTACAAAAAGCCACCATATTAAAACATTTATAGCCCGCCCTTCTGGTGTTGCCAACTTCCGGGTGGTGGAAATCCAACCACAACATCCGTGACAAAAATAACGAAGAGTCAATAAAGATATGTTGCAAAATCATTTACTGTAATTCTGTAGAAACTTCTCTTCTACTATTGCTCACACACTAATGAATGCTGCGCAATGCAAACAATTTGTGGCATAAAAATGTTGACATACATTGTGAAGACCTTGGGTTCTGTTATTAGAGAGTCAACATGGAATGTTTCCTTCCAGAGTTGATAAGTGGTAATTGCTAAGAATTGTGATTGCTTCACATTCAGATAAAGCAAATATTGTGAAACGAATTGTTTACATTGTGCAGCCTGCTTTAGTGTGTGAGTGATAATAGAAGAGAATTTTCTACAGAATTACCACAGTAAATGATTTTGCAACATATCTTTATTGACTCTTCATTATTTTTGTCACGGATGTTTTTGGATTTCCACTTCCTCCTGTGATCTCTCATTTTTAACCTCCAGGTGGTGGCTGGAGATGTCCTGGGATTACAACTGATCTCCAGGCAACACAGATCAATCCCCCTGGAGAAAAGGGCCTGTTTGGAAGGTGGACTCTATGGCATTAGACCCCACTGAAATCCCTCCCATCCCCAAACCCTCTCTTCCTCGGGCTCCACCCACAAAATCACCAGGTATTTCCCAACCCAGAGCTGGCAACCCATGTGCTTTTCCTCTTGGTTCCTCCCATCTGCAGATAGCTAAATACGTGGATCAGGGCCACACGGATGCTAAACAGATTTTTCAGCAGACTTGGGGGATTCCCCAGGTTTGCATAAAAATCTGAAATGTATCAATTTCCCCCAAAGTTAAATTTAAAAATTAAAAAGTGTTGTCTGTGCATGCATGGCCTACTTGGCTTCTGCAGTGGCTGGGGCTTCGGCAGTGGCTGGGAGCTGCATTGGAGCCTAGCGGCGAGCTGCAGCAAAGCCCTGGAGCCCGGCCACAGTGGCAGCTGATGCGAGGAACTGCTTCAGACCCAGCTGCAGCGACAGCTCTCAGAGACCATCATGGCTGGGCCCCGAGGTGACTGGTTGTGCCTGAGCACATGCCAGCTCAGCAGTGGCGGGGGAGGTGGGATTGCCCCCTGGTCCCCGGCTAAAACCAAGGATAAAACAGCAAGCCTCCTCAAATCCTTCCCTCCCTTAAAAGATGCCTCCCATTCCAGCCCCTTCGAAAGCTCTGGCAAACATAGTGTATCAGTATTAAAAACAAGCCAGAGGCATTACAAAATAAAAAAAACAAACAAGATCTGAACTACTTAAAGAATGTCCATGCAATAGGTTAGAACAACGTCTGAGTCCAGGGGCACCTTTAAGACCAACAAAGTTTTATTCTGGATTCAAACTTTGTTCTGCTGCTTCAGACCAACACAAGTACCCCCACCTGAATCTATCTTCATGGGAGGCATACAATAGGTAGATGCAGATCATACAACTGATTAAAAATCCTTAGTCGTTGAAGAAGAAGAAAAGAAGAAGAGATCGGATTTATACCCCGCTCTTCACTCGGAGTCTCAGAGTGGCTTACAATCTCCTTCCCTTCCTCTCCCCACAACAGACACCCTGTGAGGTAGGTGGGGCTGAGAGAACTCTGAGAGAACAGCTCTGAGAGGACTGACCCAAGGCCACCCATCTGGCTGCGTGTGGAGGAGTGGGGGTTCTCACAGATTAGAGTCTGCTGCTCTGAACCACTACACCAAACTGGCTTGGGTAAAAAGACATGTGTTCGCTGCCAAGGCTCATGACAAAAATGAAGTAGCTCCCAGAAGTCTAGAAACACACACAACCCGCCCTGTTCTTGAACCTCTTCCCAGATATGCCTGGTTTTCTGTCTGCCTGTGCCTCTGGGACTTTGTTTTTGGTTCATACTTTCTCCCCACCCAGCTAGTTTTCTAGGAGCAGAGATCCTTGGGTGAGCCCTCAGTGCCGTGAGCCCTACTGCTTAAAGAGGCAGAGGTAGCATCACCTCTGGCTGTGTTTTGGGAGTTGCTTATTAATTTAGAACATTTTCATGCCACCTTTCCACCCGATCGGGGTCCCCAAGGTGGCACACATTAAAAAAACCACTTAAACATTAGAACTATTAAAAAACAACATTTAAAATTATTTTAAAAGTTCAGTAAAAACACATAACTAACAATAACTGTTAACTGGGAGTATGCCAACCTAGCAGTTTGAAAGCAAGAAATTGCAAGTAGATAAATAGGTACCACTTCGGTGGGAAGGTAACAGCGTTCCGTGCGCCTTGGTGTTTAGTCATGCCGGCCACATGACCACGGAAACGTCTTCGGACAGCGCTGGCTCTTCGGCTTTGAAATGGAGATGAGCACCACAACCCTAGAGTCGGATTCGACTGGCTTTCGAGCAAGGGAACCTTTACCTTTACTATGCCAAACAAAAAAAAAAGGTCTTCATGCACTGGCGGAAGACACTGATAGAGAGCAACAGGCCAATCTCCCTGTGGAGGGGAGTTCCAAAGTTTTGTTGCCCCAACCGAGAAAAAGCCCTTTCTTGGGTTACCACCTGTCTAGGCTCAGATTAGGCTCCAGTTTAAGGAAATGGTGTCCACAGGGTTGCCAGCTCCAGGTTGGGAAATACCTGGATATTTTGGGGGTGGAGCCTGAGGAGGGGAGGGGAGGGACTACAGTGGGGTATAATGCCACAGAGCCTACCTTCCAAAGCAGCCATTTTCTCCAGGAAAACTGATCTGTATCGGCTGGAGATCAGTTGTAATCCCAGGAGATCTCCAGCCACCACTTGGAGGTTGGCAACTTTCGGCATCCAGTTTGAAGCAAGTTTTCTTGCATGCTGTACCAAATGGGCACCCTTCTCAGACAGTTGCCCTTGTATCGCCTCAGGTTTTCCCTCCACTTCCCCTATGAATTTCGGTTCCCCATATGTTAACTGGGTAGCCTTTAGGTAGCACGTCCCTCTTCTTATGTGGTAAATAAATCTATATATCTAATAGCCAAGTCGCCCCCGTGTGTGCGGATACCTAAATCCGCGCATCGGGGGCACCTGGGGGGGAGGGAGATTTTTGGGCAGTCCCCAGGTGGGCACAAAAATCTTAAAAGTTAAAAAAAATATTGGGGGGATACTTAAATCCCCCCAAAAGTGACAGAGCGTCCCCTGCGCATGCGCAGGGAACGCTTTGCAGCTGGCCTCGCCGCCGCCTCGGA